GAAACTCCTCGATAAACGATTCTAGTGCGGTGTTGTTTTGGTGTTGATGTGAGGATCTTTCTACAGGCTTCGCGCAGTAGGTAGGTTAGGATTGGAAAATCCATGCCATCGCCTCCGTATCCCTTTCTTGCGTCTCCGTTAAAGTATCTAGTGGGAATAGTGATAATGGTTAATGATGGTAATTATGAATAAAATCCTTGAAACAAAATGCAAACCATTGCAGTTCGTACGTACTGGAAAAAAATCGCGCGCTTTAAAGGTTGTAAATTTGATGTAAATTTGATGTAAATCATTTCTATCAAATTACCTTCATTTTGGACACTTACATCATATTTATATCAAATTTACAACCTTAAAAGCGCGCGTTTTTTTCCAGTGCGTATTTCACAGGTTTTATGGAAATCACTCTAATACAATTGGTAGTTGCCAGTATTTTCTGTTTTAGCATGACATTACGATTTTTATCATTTTATCATCATCACCAATGATAGTATGCAAGTACAACATRACTCAAAATCTCATTAGTAATATATGATCTCATGTTTAAACAATTGTTGTTCAACTATAAAGATACCTATAAACTGGAGGTTTCTCGAGAGTGTAGCATATCACCGCAAACATCTCATCATTCGATAAACCCATCGCGTTGTCCACCATGTCTTGAATTTCCTCCCATTTTTTCAAAGTCTCTTCGTAGCCACCGTGAATCAAAGCGTTCTTCTTTGCTTCGTAATCCAAACCCCTTCTCATCATGGTGACCATCATTTCCCCAGGGAACGAGAWATTGAAGCTTGTCTCTGCYAACCCCATGTGAATAAYCYTCGCAAGACTGCTGAACTTACAGTACTTGTCTTCCTCGACCTTTTTTGGCGGGGAACTTATGCTTAAAGGCTGRAACCCAGTTGGTGGGYGATGKWTAAACTGRTYARRTTCATTACCCAGGAATATTTGCACTCTTTGTCCTCTAGCAAGCGACAAACATGGGCAAACAGCTCCATTAAAAGGAATCTCCTCAAAAGCTTTTCCCATATCGGTGCCATTGAGAGAAAATTGAATAAACTTGCTATCCACGTCCACAGCAACTCCGACTACATCTCCGGCCTTCCACGGGCTGCCGTACTTCTCTTTCTGATTATTATTCCACTTAAGACATCTTTTCCCGTCGTAGGCCCATGAGTGTGCATCGTCTCCACAACCTTTCCCTTCTTCTGCCTTTGCCTTAAACGCTTCGTCGCACCAGCCAAGCTGCATATAGCCCGCTGTTGATGTTTTGCATTCGTAGTARTATTTTCCTGTTTTTTGTCCCAATGGTTTGAGAATTACAGTAGGTGCGGCTCGTTGAGCGAATATTTCTATYGGGGGACCTGGTAGGATGATTGCAGCCTCCTGAAAACTTTCAGCACCGACTACWCTCGCTATGTTGTTATAGTCGAACGCCATTACGATAGACAAAAATTCAGAAGCTCCTTAGACAATGAAATATCAGTCAATTAGTACATTTACTCKTTGAGTTCAGGCTTAATTCCAGGTAAAACTTATAAAAGCGAGCAATGTCTAGTTCTAAGTCGTACGAAGTTGCTCAAACTTCGACARTCGGTTTMAATATCGTTTCAACTCACGTTCTGCATCATCATGTCATTCAGATAGTTCTTAGCCAATCAGATGACGAGAACTAGACAATTGAATGGTTATTTCAACGCACTCAAATGGTATTCTTTTAACGTATAACAAAGAGTATGATGTATTGGCACGATTTCACTTTAAATAACTGCATTATGATTTTATCTTGTAGTTGAGTCTTATCGTTATTCAACCAGAACATGTAAAGCTATTCCTTTTGTCACGAATTGTTGTGGTGAATTAATGGCTATTACTCACCGTCCACGCTATAAAAATCTAAAACATTAAACTTTTACATGTTTCTACCGTTGTCTGCTTGACTACTATTGTCTCTCAAGTTCTACAGATTCTCACACGGGCTGAATGTGTTCACCACGAACACATTCTATTTGAATGTTTCCGTCTTTGAATGGCAAATCGTATGGATTTCTTTGCGTATTTCACACCTGCATTTTCAAAACGTCTGAATTGTAAAACGGTGCTAAACGCATTTTTTGTGTCTTTGATATAACTGTTCAGTATATCGAACCAGAGCTTATCCGAATGTAGCTAACTTAGATTGATATCAAAACAGATTAATAATAAATCAATGTTTTTCCCAACAGAGAGATTGAATCGCGTCTAGAGGGGGTATCTGGGATTCTTTTGTCTGAGGCTTCTTGTCTTCGTAAGTTGAAGTCTATCCTAGTACGTCTGCCAGATTTAGAGCGAGGGCTGTGCAGCATATACTCTAAAAAGGTACTTTGTGCTTCATGTCCTTTTGTGTGCACTAAGACTTACACAATTAGAGAGTGTCATTTTCATTACTCACTCATTCACTTACTCACTCACTCATGCAAGCAATGAATTAATCAATCAATCAATCAATCAATCAATCAATCAATCAATCAATCAATCAATCGATCAATCAATCAATCTATCTATCAATCAATTTATCAATCAATCAATCAGAAAAAAATCAATCAATATCAAACAATCGATCATTTAATCGATCGATCAATCAATCAATTAGTAAACCAATTAATAAATCAATAAGCCAATCAATCATCCAAAACAAAGTGTGTCACTAACAATTTCAGTGCTCTACCACCGAATTTCTAACCATTCTCAAGTCTTTGATCAACGTGTACGAGATCGTCAGCGCATCACAACTTGAGGCTTCCAAGGAACTYACATCTCCAATGCTATCMMAAATATTCACTGAGGTATGACCTAGCAGTACTATACTGATCGAATATTGTTATCTCTTACTTTAGTTGTTTTTTTTCTTGTACCATACCTACCTTGCTCCTATTGGTCCAGTTGCTTTGCAACTCTCTCATTATATAAACTCATACTTAGCCTAGTTTATCTCTTTACTCCGACGAAGGATTAACGTCCGAAACGTCAATAAGTTGTTTCAACTATTTTTTTATTGTGTTAAATTTATCTTTTTACACTGAATGATACTGTGCTAGTYTTGTGAGACCCACTGATACCGGCTATAATGTTATTCATAAATAAAACCAGATTGCGCACGTTTTCTAGGTTCCACGTCTTTTGAAAGGAGCAGATAAGTTTATGAATATGATAGATCAAGAAGCTGCAAGGTAGGTTGTGATTTRTGTATGATTTCTCTTCCCTTTGTCCACAATACCACCCTTGTAATATTCATCATTGTTGTATTTGAAAGCGCGCCACTGGCGATTAATTTGGATCATGAAACCGAGGCTTGTAGGCGCGCGTCCAACTAATCACAAAAGCGCGGGAATCTATTTTGAGAAGCGTAGAGACATAGTACTAGATCCAGTCATATCCTTGAATGAACTTTCGACACGGAACAGACTGAAATAGCCTGTTGAATACACCAAAATAGCCGACTTTAGATATTTTGGTTCAGTGACCATACACAAAATAATTGCAGACGAGGCTCCGGGGAAATAAAAGAATAAATCAAGATTATCCTCGTGTGCGTTCTTTTGTACGTAGTCATCGAACCAAAATTTCTCAAGTTGACTCGTATTCGTCGCATTTGGTATTACAAGTGGTAGCTAACTGCAGAACTCCACACCCCGGGTTTTAATTACGTTAGTATATTTTTTATTTAAAGAACGGGAGATAAAACMAAGCTTTTCAGAGATGAAACTCAATTTCCAGATATTGAAAAATGTACAAAGGTAAGAATATTTTAATATGAAGGATTGAAAATTCCTCCTTTAACTGGAGGAATAAAGTTTCTTCAGGTTCGCCGTGTGATGAAGAGTACATTCTCGTGCCAGTTCCTCCTCTCACCCCATCGAATGGGGATGAGTTGGGTTTGGGTACGATGCTCTTCCTCAATCTCTTCCCCACTCCTTCTCGTCCAGAATTATGGAGGTACTTTTGTCAACGTTGGTCGGCTGCATTTACAGGTTCGAAGTTTCGCAGCGGCCATTTTGGCAATGTGCCGACCAAAAACATCGTTAACAAGAACGTTTCACTGCAAAATTCAACTTTGTAAACGGAACTGCACTATTCGTGTCAGGCTTTCCTCATATTTCCATTAAGTTTCATTTYGCAGTCACATTCATTGCCAACATGGCGTCGATAATTTTGCCATACGGTTGCGCACTAAGTAATCAGGGAAATTTCTAAAATCAAATCCTATCCAAATACTGTTTTTTAATGCAGGAATTACAAATTTTGAATAATTWTCATCTGTCGTTCTCCTCCAAACATTGGATCTGTATTTCGAAATATCTTTTTAGACCCTATGACGTCTTAAAAGTCAGTAAACATCCCTTGTTGTAGTTTAATTATCATTAATTGTCAACAGAAATGTGATATTTTACAATGAATTTTATCTATTCAAGTACGAGGGTTCACTTCAAAARTTTTCGCAGTTAAATCAGTATTTGTTTCGCAATTCTTTGTCAGATCTACAATGATTACATTGGATTGTTTAAGCGTCGTGGGAGAGTTTGTTTTCCTTTTGTTTGAAATKTTGAGCTCTTGATGTAAAATCTCACTATTTTTAATCTTGTTCTCATTTCCGTAATCATTCTTCTATAGTGTCACCGCTTCTTCTCTTTGTTTGCATTATTTTTTTTTCTTGTTTTTCTTTTAAACTCGCTTCTTTCTTCTATGAKTTTTTATTATTTCTGTACTACTATTTGCTCTATATATTCTTATTGATCGGATAACATTTATAATCTGCAATGGGTTACAATTAAAAGACATTTTATAACGTTGTTTTCGATAAAAACAGGTGCACTTTTTAAATTGAATATATCTACTTTTGTGAAAATTCGACATTGAGAATTTAAGTCTTGGGCACATAGACGGTTTAAAAGGATGATTACGAGTTTAATAGGTTTTTGTTTGAACTGTACATGCATTCTGCAGAAGTTTATTTATTTCTAGTGCTAATTGCCTTCGACGAAAAGGCCAAAKTTTTAATTTTGGCTCCTGAATCTGAGGGTTTGCGGTGATTTAAAAATGAAGAGAGAAAAAAATGGAACTCTTTTCCTTTTTCAAGCGTTGACGAGACTTCTCCGACTTTTATTTGAATACACAGGAACTTTCATTTTGTTAGGAAGTAGTTAGTGGAAGTATTGAGTGTATATCCAAACAGGGACGTGGGAAGAAAATCTCTTCCCACGTCCCTGATCCAAACTTGTTTTAATTATACCAGCGTTCACCGAAGTGTTAATGTTGTTTGTTAATTCATGTTCGGCTTAGTTTGTACTTAACGATGTCGATAATGAGATAAAGAAGGAAATTGTTGTTTTGATGACTGGCAGTTATGACAATAAGTGCCATGATTTTTTACAAATTTTCTCTTTTTGAAGTCTTTGTGTGCTTCTCCCAATCTCGTATGGACGGTCTTCCTGTCTTGATGTGGACATACGTTGTTAATCGTTACGTTCTTCTCGCGGGCATGTTATACGTATGTCTCCCAATTGTTTTTTTATGAGTTTGCGTGCGTCTCATTGTCTCCTTTTTTACGTGCATCTCGGTGTTTATCTGCGTTTTCAGTTCCTGCCTATTACGTACTTTTTAGTGATTTACGTGCATCTAACAGTCACGTTTTTAGTGGTTACGTGCGTTAAAGAAGTGCTTTTACAGTTGTTGAGTAAGGCAAAACTATCAGGTGTTATAAGAAATAACTTAAAGGCTTATTTACGTGAACCAATTACCTTAAAAAACAGGATAACGTTTAGATAAAAGGAAATTTCATAACGTTGAACAAATATTACTTATGAAGGGAAATTTGTGTAAATGCTTCCCAATATAAGATGTTCTTTCAAAGTCAAATATTTGTTTTTGAGGATTACGAGTAGAATCGTGTACAGATGTTAACGATTTGAAATAACTGGTTCTAGTCAGAATAGGAAAAACATTATTCTTCAATCTCTCTGTACATAACGGGTAGTCAATGAAGTTTTTAATCAAATTTTAACATTTTAACTAATATCAGGAATTACTTTTGAATGAAAATGTTATGACATCTTTCACGGTCAAATGGAAAATAGATAAACATTTCATATTGAATATTAGTGGTTTTTGAGAACTTTTATGAGACAAGAAGTTACTATCCGAGAAATTTGCAGTTCAGCAAGCTCTTATTAGCAGATTTTGATCGACTTCCAAAGGYTCATGAACTTAGGCTTTGGCAGATGCAATAGAAAGGTACTAATTATTTCTAGTGACTGATCTATTGTGCAAGCAAGGTGGTCTGTCATTAATTTTGAATAAGAGAAGCGAATATTGGCGTCGTTATATATGTCAGGTATAATATTAATTTTGAAAGCTTTCAAACCGTACTAATGTGGACGTTACGCTAACGTTACAAGCCTCGTGAATCGTAGTGGCGACGAAATGTCAAAACGTATACATACAGTTGCGGTTTCGCGTCTATCAAGCGAAGTAATGCGCTTTTGTATATATTTGGCGTAGGGACGTAAGGTGGAARAGAAAWCCGTTGCGTTTCCGTAGTTATCAAACGTAGTATGGACATGCRGCCAAAAGAATACTGGAATACATGGCGAAGTGGTTGCGGTTGCGTAGTTATCAAGCGTAGTGCGGACGTAAGCCGAAGAGCATATTCAAATGTATTATTMTGTCATATTCAGTGATATGGCGTTGTTAGACGTAAGTTCAAAACGTAAAAATACACTAGCGTTTTCATATTCACCGGCAAGMGTAATGTTTTTCACGGTATTTTTATACTYAATAGACGCAAATGATTGATTATAGTGTCATCCTTTGTTTTTGTTCAATAKTTAACTGATCCCAAATTCATTCCCACGCACATTTGACAACTCTTTTCATYGCTTTTCGGAACTCTATGCTTCTGACTGCGTAAATCCAMGGGTTAATTGCGCTAGATAGATATGAAACCCATATCCCCCACAACCAGTGTCGATATATAATCAACTTTCGGCACTTATCCTCTGCATTTAGCTCTATACACGCAAAGATGAAACTGGGCGTAAAGAGAGTAACGAAACAGCCAATAATAATCCCAATAGTGAACGCTGCTTTGTTATTACGTAAGCACTCTTTGCGTTTATTAACGTCGCTGGTATGGGTTGTTGCGATTTGTCTTGCGTGGTACCTGGCTGTTTTCAAGATCTTGTAGTAACAGAGACAGATGATGATTAAAGGAATACCAAATGTCGTTACCAAGCAAGTTGTCCAGAGCACTGAAGAGTAAGTTTTTGGTGTGTAATACGCTGTTGAACCAAATAAAATYGACGCTGTCCATATAGAAAATATAATTCTTACGCATCTGTCCCGCGTTACAATGTCAGCGTAGTCGAAGACGCGCGTTATTGCGAGATATCGGTCAATGCTTACCGCTGCTAGGCTGAACGTAGTTGCCATCAAAGTCTGTATCCACAAGCAGTTTTCAGCTAAATACAACCAGTGGTCGCTAACCCATACTTGAAGAGTGGTTATAGCTATATACAATGGACTGATCAGCAAGCCAACTACCAAATCAGCTACACTTAGCGAGACGAGGAAATAATTCGACGTATAGTGAAGACTCGGAGTTTTACCAAACGCTATCAAAACAATAATATTTCCAAATACTGCCAGAGAGCTTGAAATACAGTGAAGCGACACAAAAATGGCGTGTGGAACGGGTTGAAGATTCGGATTACATGAGTCAAAACAGCAATTTGTCGCATTCATGTTAATGCCTAATCCAGTCAGTTTCGCTGTATTCAATAGTAGACGGCTTTCACAAGGTTTTTGGACATAAATTGCGGTGCTTGGAGGCCGCTCTTTAGTGAAAAACAAAACAATGCAGATGTTGATTTTCTAAGTACATACTTTCTGATAAGGCTATTTCATCTCTTATTGAAACGGGTAATTGTTCACATTTTGTCGTTTGACTGCGTGGTGACGTAGGCCTGGACAACCATTTGTGGATCCTGCAGGGACAAAAGAAAATATCCTTTTTAATCATTATCCGAAACGATCATTTCTTCAATATTTAGTCATACCTTAAATTACTGATTCTATTCTTCTTCTATTAGTTAAATTTCGCCGAAATCGGATTTCAAATGGTTGCTTTTCTGTTAATTTGTGGTCAATCTATTCGAAATTATTCCATCAACATCTATGTTGGATACTWTTCAACCTTATTTAGTACCATGACTTCTCATTGGGCCTAACGATTATTAGAAAGAAAAACTAATGCCAAGGCTATTAATTATTGCGAACATAAGTTTCTTTTATGTGATAATCTGGCTCTTTAGATGTTCTCCATTTGGTGGCATTAGTTGTTATAGCAACTCAACTGGTTCTCTGGTATACTTGTAGGCAATCACTCGTCTTGTCTTGTAAAGTGTTTGTTTGGAGAGCATTCAGTTGTGTTTGTTTCAATCTCAAGGTATTTGAACAGTACCGGAAAGTAGCGGGTTCAAATCTTTTAAGCACGAAAAAGCGTTTTGAATAGAGGAATAAATAGCGTAAAACTAAAAAAATAAAAATAATATATATATAAAAAAATGAAAAAAAAAAATGAATTTGAGATTATGGATAGATGATATAATTGTGCAAAAAGCTCCCAAATGTACTAATTGATTCTATTTTATATGACTTAATCTGCCTATATTAGCTTTAGCTATATGCAGGTTTAATATGTATACTACATTTTTTTTGTAAAATAAAGAATTATGTTATGTAATAGAAAAATGAAAGATATTTGATGATAATTGATTGATGCTTGATTGTGGAATGATGAAGACGTTTTCTTTCGTCCTCTTGACCAAATTTTCTCTTAGAAATTTATTGAGAGCATACACCTATTTACACAAACGTTGTCCAAGAAAAAATAACTTTTATTATTTAGGAATTAATTTAAAAAACAAAAGAAAATGTTCGGCTTCATTGGTCATGCTTTGTCTTTTAATGTATTCTTAATTTCCTAAATCCTTAATCTCAGGACAACGTTTTCGTCATTAGGTGTATCATTGTGGTCGTATTTGCATACCAGTGAGGATGATATGTGCACAATTGTACATAACACATGAGTTCGAACTTAGGCAATTTTATACTTAATCATACTTAGGTACACTTACTATACTTGGCGTTGCTTATCAAGGCTTAATTGTCGACATTATTATCCATACGATACCTTTGAATTTCTTTATGGGAACTAGATCAAGTTGTTAAAAAAACAACCATGGTAAAACATACTTAAGTCCAAAAAAACATAGTGAAAACKTCTTATAAAAACAGGAGAAGCCGACCAGGTCTGTTTTTTTTTTTAGATAACTGTTCAGGCGCACTTGCGCACTAGTGGCAAGGAAATATTAAAATTTTCACAAAAAATACTGAAAAAGTTTACATAAAATTGATCCCTTTTATATGCCCTCGATATCTCTCAAAACGCTGGAAATCGCATTTTCCAAGAGTTGATATTTCAAAATTTCCTTGGGGAGGTCCAGACTCCCTTAATACTCCCTACTTTGGCAGTCGTTAGACTCCCAGATCCAAAATATGTGTCGCGGTCCCTGACGTGTGTGCTAGCCAAAAAGTCCACGCTACGCGCCTGCTGTTTTTAACCCTTTAACGTCCGCTTTAGGGATTATCGTTCCTGCAGGAACGATGCTTCTAAAAATTACAAGTTTCCGAGATCGCAAAAGAAGACCACCAAATGTACTCCATGACAACAGCTAGTAATACAACTCTTTCTTAGAGTTAAAAAGATTTCACATCAAGCACGATATCTGCACTGGGCAAAATGGACCGCTGAAAAATAGGAATGCCTAAATTTCGACTTTTTGGTACATCAAATAAGGCTGGGAATCACGTCTCTTCGTCTCCAGTTTTAGAGTCGAAATCATCTTTTTCAAATCGAAATTCTAGGTTTTTGGAAATTGGCCATCCCAGGTCTTTAGTATTTTTGCATTTTTGTTTTGTAGAAGCGTCTACAGATCTAGCCACATCCCCCTTTTCGACACCAATCACAGCAAACCTAGATTTCTCAATTGCGCGGCCGATTTTCCTTTCTGCAAAGGTCGTGAAGAGTTTCCTGAGAAAAATTCCTATAGTGCCTATTCCTCTCTGTGATTAAAAAAATATATTTCTGAGTGTATTTACTATTGCTTTTCTGAATACCAACTTACAGCTGGCTGGGACATAAGAACATATATATTTTTCCCAGGAATCCGTTGGCTCCTCTTGTCAAACTACTTTATAGTGTTTCTACAGGATCACTAAAGCCAAATGCTAGTATAACTTCCTATTTCAAATATCAAAAACAAAGATTGTTTGGAGTGCTGGTCAAAACAGTTGACGATTTGCTTGTCATTTCAGGAAATGAAAAGAATCGTGGGAGAACTGAAATCCCATCGAACTTACATCCGAAAGACCTTGCAACATCCATCATTAGATTACTGCACTGTTGCCGGGAATGAGGTATATTGCAAATTATTTAATTAAGTCAGCAAAAAGTACATCGGATATTATACAAGGGATACACAGTAGGAAAATAAGCGAATGCATTGTATCCTTAAGAAGATTATCTTCGCTTCCTTTTCCTTGCTCCCCCTTCTGTATTCACTTGTTTTTTTTTCTTTTTTTGTTTCTCTTAGATTCTTTACTTTCATATTATTTGTATTGTCAGCTCACCTCTTTACTCATTTCCTCTTTTGATTTTTCTCTTCCTTCCTTCTTYCTTTCTTTCTTCTTTCCTACCACCTCTTCCCCCCTACTTCGTGAATTTCCTAGCTTCTTTCGTTCGTTCCGACTCATTTTTTGTCCAGCTTTCTTTCTACCTCATCTTCGTTACCTTTCAACTGTCAAAGTTATCCTCTCTTGAAATATTAACTTCTTTTTGTAGTTTCTAATCGAAGTCCGTAATGCTAAGCTGGGTTGTGTTCCTTCAGACTGGATCAAGATTAGCGCGTAAGTTGATTAAAATGGCGATGGTCACGTGATTCATAGTAGGATCTCAGATCCTGTCGTARGACTTCCATATATGGATGTAATTATACAGGGTCTTATGTACACAGGCAAGCTTCACTAATGAAATGATATGTAATATATAAAATATGAGCGGGAGACATTTATGGGCATTTAAAACTGCGAGCTGCAAGCGAGCAGTTTTATGGCCCATAAAGGTCGGACGCGAATATTTTATATTGCTTATCAAATTCCAACATAAGGTAAAGCATATTTCGAAAAAAACTTCAGCATAAAATATCGTTTGTAAGAGAAAATCGAAGTTAAAGTCGTATTCAAATCAGGACAAATCTCTTGCTCATATAAAGATCATGCGGTCACGGCAATGATTTTCCATTGTGTTTACCTTATGCATTATTAATGAATTTGATAATGACAGTGTTCATGATGATGATAAGAATAAAGACGATGATAATTTTAATGATATTGAGTCTGATTATTATTTCTCGTCCAAAAAGGACCAAACAAGTGTGTCGTTTTCGRACGCCGTTCGTCGAAGAGCAGTACAAGTTGCTATGCCAACAAAGAGAAATGATGTCACAAGTATGTAACCAAGCCTGGCTGGATTACTTAGACATGGTCAATCAACGATACCCCCTCTACATCAAGGCTGTGCAAATTATTGCTGTTGTCGATTGTTTGTTTTCCTTGGCAACTGTTGCTAAGCAACCTGGATATGTACGGTAATTAATTTGACTGGGAAATTAAGCTTTTTCGTTTATATTCATTTACTCATTGTAATGTCACTATTCTCCCATCACTTAGTCAGGTAAAGTTACCTTTTACTGACTTCATGGCGTAACTATGTTCGGATGAATCTCTTGAGGTCTTAATCAGTGTTTTTTCACATTCAGGCCCGTGTTACAGGACTTGGAAACAGCTGAGCTACAGATCATTCAAGGTAGACACCCCATACTAGATGCACTGCTGTCAGAGAGTGAGCAGTATGTTCCAAACGACACTAAGTTACAGGTAATTATGCCTGAGAACACAGGCAGCCCAACCTTTTCATATATGCTGTGAATCGCTGTTATCCTTATCACGCCATTCATTGTTGGACGAGATGCTCAATGGGAATGCTCTTACATAATATAATAAATACCTTCGCGAATTTTTATTGAGGTAAGGTAAAATACACTGTGTTCGCAGGGTAACATATACCTTGAAACTAGAAGAGAAACAGAATGGAAGAAAGAAAGGAAAACTAAAGAAAGACAAGTAAAAATGAATGATAATGATATAAAAATACGMAAGTAAAGTAAGCAAAAAACCTAGAAGAATCCAAGACGAATTGCGTAATCATGGCATTCTTGTACGTAAATGCGATCTATTTTAACCTAACCTCGTTGTCAATGTATTACAGGGCAATGGTAATCGTTGTATGGTGATAACAGGACCTAATATGGGTGGTAAAAGCTGTTACATCAAGCAGGTCAGTTACAGTAGTCCGTGGAGGAGTAACATTCGTAATATAAAAATTAGGTAAAACCTAATAGCGGAGATCCCAAAAGAAATGCATGTTGGATAAAGATGGGATGCAAGACACATTGGTCA